AACTATGTATTATGTCAGCTTAAATATGCAAACCCCATTCTGATATCACATATGCTGGTGTAAAACAGCTCCATGAAGTTGCACTGATGAATTGGACATAAAAAGAACAATTTGGGTCAGAACCTAAGAACATCTGCTGCTTAATATACAAGTAAAAATGTCTGGTGGATATAAAAACTGGAAAAATAGAGGAAGTGTTTATGACAGAAGATGGTAAAGATGATATGGGGTAGAGATAACTATGGGTATGTCTACACTACCACCCTAGTTCGAACTAGGGTGGTTAATGTAGGCATCCGAAGTTGCAAATGAAGCCCGGGATTTAAATATCCCGGGCATCATTTGCATCTTGCCGGGCGCCGCCATTTTTAAATCCCCGTTAGTGCGGACTCCGTGCCCGTGGCTACACGCGGCACGGAGTAGGTAGTTCGGATTAGGCTCTCTATTCCGAACTACCGTTACTCCTCGCTTTTTTGCTTTTCTCACACTTATTTATGTGCTACGGACACTCACTACATGATTTTCAAATGCAAATAGTTTTGCTAAGTGTTATTTCTATTGTTAAGTTTTATGTACCTATTGTAGTCACTAAACACATTTACAGGAAACGATGGGCGTATCTAGACTACTCCGAACAGTCGAAAAAGTATATGCAAATTCTGCGGGAATTTGCATATCTTCTACTGATCACAAGTTCGAAAGCTTCGCTTTCAAAAGTGAAAGTAATTAAGATGCGGCTTTTTCCGTGAACCTCCCCCTTTGTCAAAAAGCCATGTAAGGAACAGCGGCTTTTTGACGAAGGGGGCGGTTCACTGAAAAAGCCGTGTCTTAATTACTTTCACTTTCGAAAGCTCTGCTTTCGAAAGTGTGCTCGGAAGAAGATATGCACGTTCCCATAGAATTTGCATATCCTCTTTCGACCGTTCAGCGTAGTCTAGATATGCCCAATGGATGCATCTACACAGCACCCTGACCTTGAAATAAGCTAAGCAATTGGCACTGCCACTGTATGTTCATTTCGAGCAAGGGACTACAGCAAGGGGGTGGATAGGGCTTTCCCCAACTAAACACCATCACCACTGGGGTGATCAGGATCTTCTTTTGGGTTAAAACCATCAGGTGTCCAGGCACACCTGTGAGTGTGACCTGCTCCTGAGTAACCCGGGGAGGAAAAAGAGGATTACACTATTTTGGGATACTTCCAGTATCCTGAAATAGTGCCGCTGTCTAGAAATAGCCTATGAGGTCAATTTTCTCTCAGATGAAGGTTTTGCAGAATTAAGCTTTTATGAGTCCTGAGACCATTACAGAAAATTGTCTGCACGAAATATAAAACAATCCCAGTGCAAGTGTTTAAGAGTAAAACAAATGAATAAACATTTTCCTGCAAGCCTGCAACCCAGACACTTGTAACAATGTGCAAGGGCAGGAAAGTGAAAATTACTATAAACGGGTAGAACTGATTAGCTTAGTATCATTATCCAATAGAGAGAAATGTGAAAAATGCATGAACAATGACAAGAAAATTAGGGATGAGATTTTTTTCAGACACTTAAGTAATTCAGATGTTTGAACATCCAAATACCTTAGGTGTCTTTGAAAATCCTGGTTTAGATGCATACATTCTTTCAAATTGGAAAACATTAGGTGTCATTTCTACACCATCTAAGGACTCTCCTGAGCCTAGGAATCCTCAGGTAGCTTAATCAATCATCTTTACAGTCTGTTTGCACTGGCAGACTGGTGAAAAGGGACCCAGAAGGGGTCAGGCATATTATTATAAACTCCTTTATATCAAGGAGCGGATTTACTATGAAACAAACGGTGCAGTCGCACAGAATCCCCAGCAACAGAAGGCCCAAAAACATAGGTGTGAGAAGGAGGATGGGGTGGTGGTGGTGTGCTATAGCACCCCATATTTTATGCAGGACTCTGCTACTGCCTCAGGCCCAGGGTCCTGGCTGCAGCCCTGCACCCGGGGTTTTTGAGGAGGGACATTTAATGTTAAATCTTCCACAATTGATATCTGTACCTTGTAAAAGTGGCAAATCTCCTCTTTTCTTCCATGGGTAACTAAAAAAGATTAAGAGGGGTAGCTGAATTAGTCTGTAACAAGAAAAACTTAAAAAACAACAAATAGTTTATTAGCACTTTAAAGACTAACAAAACATGTAGATGGTAAAAAGATTAGTAATAGTAGTGCAACACATCAGCTCCTGAGAAACTGGTTTGCCAGGAGTTAAAACAAAACTGAAAGCTAACAGGTCACAAGCTGGTAGGAAGTGATTTCATCCAAAGGCTCTGAAATTTCTGCCTTCTATGGTATTAAGAAAAACACAGAGAGAGTAGTCCAAGAGCAATTAGAGAGGAAGACTGAGAGGAGATGACTCACCTTCAGGTCTTTGTTGAAATCTCAATTTTCCTATCATATCAGGCAGGGTTGTCCTTATGGGAACTCAAACAACTGAACCAGGCAGTGGAGATGACAGAGCTGTCCTTAGGCATAAAAACACACATGGCTGTGTGGGGGCCCCCTTTTGAGTTCGTAATTTTTGGGTGCCCTATGCAGCCACATATTTTGTGTTCACCTAGGGACATCTCTGACACCAGATTCTAGAAGAGGCCTATCAAACATGGTGGGGGGAGGAGAGGATGGTTTGGGGCCATTTTGATTCTTTGCTATGCACAAAGGCGGCCTGAAAGGGGTTTGAGTTGGAGTATTGGCTTGTTTGTTCCCTAAGAAATGCCGGTAATGTCAAGTCTTCTCTTGCAACTTTTTGCTAGAGGACTCCTCGGAGGATAAGAGAAATGAAGTAGGAGATTTCTCAGTGATCAGTTGAAACTGCGGGTATCTTTAAAAAAGGGAGAGCTTTTCTCCTAAGTATTTCTCAAGAGATTGAGATACATTGGTGTGTACAAAAACGAATAAAGCGTAGGGTGAGGCAGTATTCTTTTTACGCACGTTAAGTAATGCCTTACTGCACAAGGAGTCATATCAACCTGAGTTTCCTCATGCTGTATGGTTCTGTTCGTTGTGAGCAAGGAAGTTGCAATCTGCTCCAAGTAGTCCAAATACAATTTCATCTTCTTTATAATTGCTCTCATCTCTTGTCATTTGGGATGTCATGGTTTCACTTGTTCTCCAGTTGCCCACAAAGTCCAACAAAATTGTATTGATAAGAGTTGGCATGTATAATGGGATAAAAAAGCAGGATAGAGACTTGCAAAGAAAAATTATTGCAAGCCTGCTCTAGGCATGTTAGTGACATAGTAAAGAGAAATGTACATGCAATTATTTTTAATAGTAAGCCACTTTTCAAATTAATTGGAAAACTCATTGTAAACCTGAGTTGAGCAATTTATGGCTGCTGACTAGAAAGAATCCATCTGCCTTGCTCTCATCCTCTTGTCTGGGTGGGTGCTGTAAGAGCCAGGAATGTGCATGAAATGCTTTAGAGAGAGGTCTGCATATAGCAGAGCTTTCCAGTCTGAACCATCACTCAGGAGACACAAAGTGTGTCTGGCTGACTCTCCTAGGACTGAATTCTGGTCCCACTGAAGTCAGTTTCGCTGCTCCTGGTGCTGCTTATGGAAAAAGGAGTAATGCTGCAGAAAATGTTGGCCAAAATTGGACATAGAAAATTCCCTCCCCTTTTTACAGTTTACTTTTGCTTCAGTAGGCTTAGAGTTCCTCTTGTTTGTTACATATAGGTGAGACTTCGCATGTCAGACCCTTCGGCCTGAAGTAAAATATGAACAGTACAACTTTCCTCTGTTCTAAACTGATCCCTTGGGGGTTTCGTGGGGATTCATTCATATTGCTAAAAGTACATTAAATATGTAAATACATTCCACCAGGACAGTTCAAGAACAAATAGACACTAGGGTCACCAATTCTACCCATCCTGTCTAACAGCCATTGATGGATCTATCCTCCATGAATTTATCTAGCTCTTTTTTGAACCCTATTAAAATCCTGGTCTTTACAATTTCTTCTGGCAAGGAGCTCCAAAGGTTGACTGTGTATTATGTGAAGAAATACTTGCTTTTGTTTTAAATCTACTACCTATTTATATTATTTGATGGCCCCTAATTCTTATGTTATGGGAGTAAGTAAATAACTTTTCCTTATTTACTTTCTCCACCCAGGTCATGATTTTATAGACTTCTAGCATATCCCCCTTTAGTCTCCTCTTTTCTAAGATGAAAAGTCCTAGTTTTATTAATCTCTCCTCATATGGGAGCAATTCCAAAACCATAATCATTTTTGTTACCCTTTTCTGAACTTTTTCTAATGCCAAGATATCTTTTTTTAGGTGACCACATCTGTATGCAGTACCATGGATTTATACAGAGTAAAAGGATATTCTCTGTCTTACTCTCTATCCCTTTTTAAATTTTTCCTAACATTC